GGCGGTTGGTGGTCACACAAGTACTTACACCCGACGGGTGAGCACGCGGAGTTGTGGGCGAAGATTGGGTTGCTTTTTCGCAACACAGGTCGGCGACCCGAGCATGTGACGGTGTTGTTCACGAACTCACATCTGGAAACCGAGGACATTGTTGTGCATTGGACGGGTTCTTCTTGGCTGACGGTCGGCAATGCTGCAGCAGGCACTCTTGCGGGTGAAGGTGCGGCGATAGCTCGGATTCCAGAGGCGATTCGTGCAGGTATTCTGGAACAAGGAGCGCGTGCTCGCACCCCGACGCGATGGAGGCCGAGAAGCACCTCGACGCGATGGAGGCCGAGAAAGTGCTGCAGCCGACCCCCCAGTGGTCGGCACCCGAGGCGAGGAGCTCGGGGATCTAATGGTGTTATGGTAAACGGTGAGCCAGATGCGTCTGCTGTTGCTGACCCTCCTCCCCCTCCTCCGCCCCCGAGCTTAGATATGCTGAAGGCTTTTGAGACGAGCCACGCGTTGTCTGATTGTGGTCGGCGCTGTCTGCGGTGTCGTGGGTCCGCGTCGGCTGCTCGCGTACAGGCGTGGCGTCGGTCCCCGTGTTTCAGGTTAGTTGCCATTGGTAGCTCCCTTCGTGCACTTCCTGAAGGGGGGAACCATTCAAATTGCTGGGGGGTTTGTGGACCCCTCCCACTGTATGAGGTTTCACGCTGGATTAAAGATATGGTTTTGTGCGAGTTGTGGGATGTATGGGGGCCAGCAGCTTTACGGCCTTGGGAGGGTTTGCGTCCCTCGCCCCACTGCGACGAGGAGGGAATACCTCCACTTGATTAGACTAGGGCGATGGCCCAAAGTTTACAATGAGTTTGAATTAGCCCGTAAAGCCCAGAAGAGGTGTACGTGATTGTTGGAAGGACTACGTCAAAGGACTCCAACTCCAACTCCAACTCCTCCTTCATTTCCTTCCTCCCTCCTTCCCTCGTTCCTCCTTCCTCATTCCTCCTTCCTGCTTCCTGTTTCCTCCTTCCTCCTTCCTCTTTCCCCCTTTCTTCCGTCCTCCGTCCTCCGTCCTGCTCCCTCCCTCCGCTCTCCTCCCTCCCTCCTCCCTCCCCCCTGCTCGTCCCTCCTCCTCCTCCTCCTCCCTCCCTCCTCCCTCCCTCCGTCCCTCCCTCCCTCCTCCCTCCCTCCGTCCCTCCCTCCCTCCCTCCCTCCACCCTCCTCCTTCCTACTTCCTCCTTCCTCCTTTCCCTCCTTCCTCCTTCCTCCTTTCCTTTCTCCCTTTTTCCTCCTTCTTCCTTCCTCGTTCCTCCTTCCTCCTCCTTCCTCCCTCCTTCTCCTCCGCCTCCTCCGCCTCCTCCTCCTCCTCCTCCTCCTCCTCCCTCCTCCCCCCCCCTCCTACCCCCCCTCCCCCTCCTCCTCCTCCCTCCTCCTCCCCTCCTCCTCCTCCTCCTCCTCCTCCTCCTCCTCTTCCTCGTCCTCCTCCTCCCCCCCCATTCCTTTGACAACAACTTCACAGATGGAGGTCGGGCCGTCTTGAAAATGTGGTTCTGGCTTTAGCGCGGCGCACATTCTTTTAAAACGTTTGCAAAAGCTTCACGGATTGAGGGCGGGTCGTTTTGAAAACTTGGCTCTCGCCTTAGCGCGGCGCGCATTCGGTTTAACATCGTGCAAGGTTTTCACGATTGAGGGCGGGTGGTTTTCAACATGTGGCTCTCGCCTTAGCGCGGCGCACATTCGTTTCAAACAGTTGCACACGCTTCACGGATTGAGGGCGGGTGGTTTTCAACATGTGGCTGTCGCCTTAGCGCGGCGCACATTCGGTTTGAGAATTTGTAAGAGTTTCACGATTTGAGGGCGGTTCCTTTTCAAAATGTGGCTCTCGCCCCAGCGACGCGCACATTCGTTTACGAAATGTTCAGGAGCCTCACGGATTCCCACCATCAACGTACCAGAAATGGCGTTCTGGAGCGATTCAGGATTATGCGGGTGCAAGTTGCGTTGGTTCTCTGTGCTGACGTCCTAGGAATGGCGGCCTGGCACGATTAAGGATCGCCACGACGCAACAATCAGGTTGATCTGTGGCGTTGGAACCCCGAGAACAATGTTTTGGCATGCTTCAAGGTCTTCAAACGGGTGGCGTCCAACGATGCAATTCCATCCATGGAAGCGAACCGTTGCAGGGGCCTATAAAGAAGGAGCTTGGAGGGAGGGTTTACTCCGACATCGTTGATGACTCTTGGGTTTACACTGGTCCTCCTCCTCCTCCTCCTCCTGCTCATCCTCCTCTTCCTCCTCCTCTTCCTCCTCCTCCACAATTACACAATATGAAAATACTCTCCCACTTCCCCTGGTGGCGTCCCGAAGATATCCGACACCCTCCCGCGTACTGTTTTTTGTCACTCAGGATTCCCGGGAAACAGGTTTTCGCTTGCGTTTTTTTTTTTTTTTTTTTTTTTTTGGTTATATATATATATATTATAAAAAAGGCTGCTCCGAATCGTGCTCCCGCTGCAGCGTGGGCCTCATTTTCGGATCGGTGTTTGCCCTCCGTCGTTCAGGATGGCGTTCTCGCCCCAGCGCGGGCCTCTTTCTCGCGCGCCCATCCGCCCGCCACCACCGCGCCGCACCACCACCACCACCACCACCACCACCCACCACCACCACCACCCACCACCCACCACACCACACCAGCACCACAGCACCAGCACCACCACCACCACCACCACCACCACCACCACCACCACAACCACGCACACACGCACGCACGCACGCACGCGCACCACCACCCACTACGCACGCGCGCGCGGAGCCACAGGTCCGCTACGACACGCGTCCGCGGATAGAGAAAATCAGCGCCATGGTAAGGGATGGGAGGGAGGGGTAGGACGTCAGATATGACGCGAGCGCACCTAGCTTGTCCTCCTCCCCCTCCTCCGCCTCCTCCTCCTCCTCCTCTTCCTCCTCCTCCTGCTTCTCATCCTCCTTTTCCTTCTCCTCCTCCTTTTCCTCCTCCTTCTCTTCCTCCTCCTCCTCCGCCTCCTCCTCCTCCCCCCCCTCCTCCAGGACCTCTCGCCTCCCCGCGCCGAGCAGGAAACCCGCCAGCACAGGCCGCGCAGGCGGCTCGGCCGTGATTGTGTCTGGCAGAAGGCGAATTCGAAAAGTCAGCGGCGAGCGCGGAGGGGAACAGAAAAGGAAAAGGCCTACTCAGAAGGCGGCGGGACTTCTCAGAAGCCTTCGCGCCTTCTGGGAGGTTTTCTATGTCTTCGGGGGGGGGGTCCGAGCCTTTTGAAAAGGCCTTCTCCATCTCGTTTCCCCCCAGAGCTCGCCGCCGAGAAAAAGGAAAAGGCCACGGCCTCGAAGGTGAATTCGACAAAGGAAGGAGGCCACGGCCTCAGCTGGGACGCGTAAGGGCATACTGATGCTGTTCGCCTCGGTGGAAGACGCAAGTCCGACCCGAACATAGATTACAGCATCTTCTAATCGATCGCTTCCCGAGCGGCATGGCCAGAAACCGCCCGCCACGGAACTTGTACTATACGATCTCTGAGCGTGCGCGTCGCCCTTGCGTGGCCGGCGCGTATCTAGCACAAGCACGCTTGGGTGGCGCCGATCTTCGTGACGTGGGCGCCGGGACCGACCCCGTCCTCTGAAGATGAAGGGCGACGTGAAGGGGGGGGAACAGAGGGGAAACCTCAAACGATAGGGCAACGACGGACACGCCTTTGTATCAGACCGTCCCCTTGGAGGTAACACGAGGAGAAGGAGGAGGAGGAATAGGAGGAAGAGGATGAGGAGGAAGATGAACATGATGTTTTTTTTGTATGTACTTATTTTTTTAACTCGGCCAGATAAGTCTCGTGGTGGCGCAGGAGATTCGAATGTGACGACGCGAGCCACCATCCTTGAGAGCTGGCTCGCGAAAGTTGCCACAGCTTCCGCAAGTAAGCTATAAAACTGATACAACTGATACGGCACGCAATGGGATCGCCTAGGGCACGGAAACACAGTTTGAGCCGCAATGATGCGGCCAATTGCAATTTAGTAGCACTCCGCGCTCCGTGACATTCTGCTCTGCTACACATCACGACGCTGCTACACGCACTTTTTTCCTCGGCGAGATAGTTCTTGCCGTGGCACAGGGGATTCGTCGGATGCGAGGATGCGAGCCAACATCCTTGAGAGCTAACTCGCACAACTTGCCAACAACCGCCGCTAACTGTGACCTGGCGGTTGAGACGCCACTCTCCCCAAAAACGATTTCTGAATTAGGGTTGATTAGCGCTGCAGCAAACGAGGCGGGTAAGGCTCGGCGATCTGAATCCATAATCTGTCACCTGGACCCTTGCCTTCAAGGATCATATGAGTTTTGCCAGAATGCCGACACATGGAATTTGGGCACTGGGCTGCAATGGGGTGCTAGCCGCTGCCTCTTGTTGTCCCAACAGGCTAGTGTGGTCTCTTTGCGCCAGGGCACGCCGTACTTACAGTGCAGTGTGAGTCAGAAAAGCCTGGCGCAGCAGCTGTAACATCTTGGGCTGTCTCCGCAGCCGCATCCTGTGCGGATTCTCTACTAATACTGGTACACGATGGCGGACGCAGGCTCGGATTACACGACTGGTCGTGCGCGGCATTAAATTGCCGGCCACGACTTTCTCAGCATCTAGGCCAGAGAAAGTAGGGAGACCACTGGGATGCTGGCGGGTGCGCAGGGGGCCTCCAGGGGCGCCGCGCTTGCCCCCCAAAAACTAAAACAAGGCGTGCCGAGGTGGGCCCAGCAAGCTTGGGGCACGAGCTCGAGCACCTCACGAACTGCGCCAAGGACCTGGGAAACGATGTCTCGGATGTCCCGGGTTCTCGCCTGCCAGCCAATGCGACGCAACGACTCTGAAAGACCTGTTCTGCCTAGGAAAAGCTCCAGACACAAGGGCTTGGCGTGACAGGCGGGTTCGGGCGAGCTCGCTCTGGGCCGATGTCCTGGAGCGCCTGCGCGGGGCTAGCCGTGCGCCTGTTTCTCAGCGCGACCTCGAGCCGTTGATCGGCGTCGGCAAGAAGCTGCTACAGACCTCGGTCGCGGGAGGCCAGGCGGCTTTTCGAGCTGGGGCCCTTCTCGGAGACGCCGCGCGCGCTCGGGCGCCCTGCGGCCCTGGCGCTCGATGACCCTTGGGTCGTCCATGGCGAGCTGGTCGTGCAGCGGCTTCAAGTGGCGAGCCACGTGGGGCGCGAGCTCCCGACCTGCCGGGGTCTCCAGGGCGGCCGCATTCTTGAGCGCGACATTGAAGGCCGCGCCCGTCCGCCAGAAGAGGCGCTCCATCGGCTTCGCCTGTCGCGCCGCCTGCCCCAGGATCAACCTTGACGGGCTGCCCAGCAAGATCGGCGCGATGGCGCTGATCTCGGCGGTGCGGGGCCCCTCCTCGGACATGAGCACCGCGGGCGCGGCGCGGTAGTCGCCTCCGGCCTCTGGCAGCGCAGGCGCCGCCTGATTCGCCCGCTGTGCCTGCAGTCTGTTTAGACGCAGGTAGGTGTCCGCCGCGAGCCTCGCCGCCTCCTCTGGCTTGGCGTAGTCGGCGATCTCGGGCCCGAGAGTCCTGCGGAAGCCGCCGAACAGCGCCAGCCTCTTGCCGTGGTCCAGCATCATCTTCCGCGCGGCGATCCACATCTCTAGTATCGCGAGCCCCGCAGTCCACCGCCGCGCCCTCGTCGCACCCCTGGCCCGCGCGAGCGGCGGGGGGGGGGGGGGCGGCCGGGGGGGGGTGCAGGGGGTCGGCGACGTCTCGTCGATGAAGGAAGCCACTGCCCGATCGAGGAAGCCTGGCCCGCCTCCGCCCTGCCCAATGGGCCGGCGCAGGCCGCGCCCGCGGCGACCTCCTCGCGAAATCGCAAGCCGCGCGGAACGCGCGGGGCCGTGCGGTTCAGCGGCATGGCGCGCGCGAAGTGGCCGACCATCTTCTCGACCTCCCCGCCCGACGCGCGCCGCCGCCGCAGGGGCGCCTGGCCCCCGCTCCAGAACCTCGCGCAGCGGCAAGCCGACCTCGGACGCCACCATGGCAGCCTTTCTACGCGCGCTCGAGTGGCGCCCGCCTGCGAGGAGACGAAGACCTCGTTGTCCACGCGCGCGATCTGGGGCACCAGCTCCGATCCCACGCTGGGCGCCAGCTGCCGGCCCGCCAGCTCGCGCTCGACGCCGCCGAAGCCGCCGCGCCGAAGCAGTTCGCGAATGGCCTGCTTTGTCCACCTCGCGGCCCGCGAGAACGGGTAGACCCGCGCCCCGTCAACGAGCATCTGGCCTTCGGCCGCCTCCGCGCTCAGCTCGCGAGCCCTGGGCGGGCGCGCGCCGAACCGGGGCGCCGTGTAATCTGGCGCCCTGAACTGGCAGAAACAGTCGGCGATGTCCTGGATCGAGAACTCCAGCTGGTCGCCATCCTCGGCCTCCAAGCCCACTACTGCCGCGGTCGAGGCCAGGCGGGTCGCGGGCGCCCACGATGAGCCTGGGCATGCCTGACTTTTCCTGGACAAAAAGAAACTTCCGATTCAAAATCGCGACGAGCGCGCAGCTCTACCATGCCCTGATGGAGGAGACCCTGAACGAACTGCGCGCACTCGTCTACGTTGGTCGGCAAGGTCTTATCCCAGTGCGCCTTGGTGGCGCCCAGGCAGACCCCATCAGCGCGAGGCAATGTCGAATTCTAGCCGTCAGTCGCCCCCTGGCGGTCTGGCTCTGGCAGCACCTCCAGCAAGCTCTCGCGCCCCGCCGACTCAGGCCTCGAAACCAGGCCGCGATCGCACGGCGCAGCCGCAGTAGGGCCGTCGGGGCCATAGCCCAGACTGCCTGAACCGAACAACTCCACCAGGGCTGCCTCGGGGCTGGGGGCGTCGCCCAGGGGCTCATCGTCAGGCGCGGCCTGCTAGATCGAGTCCGCAGCGGGAAACTGCGACTCGCCTCCCCCTCGCAGGTTTTTCAAGGTGGCGATGCAGTCGTCGCGCGGCGGCCTGCAGCAGTCCCGCGGCCTATCCTCTGGGCGGAGCGGCGCTGCAACGAGCGCGCCCCCCATCGCTGGGCGCGCCGGTGCCGCGGGCAGCGACAACAAGTCCCTCGGCATGATGCGCTCCAGAGGCCTGGTGGCGGCGGCTGGGGTCGGCCACTCCCCGGCCTCGGAGCCATTCGTGACTTCGGCGGGGCGCGCGCCAGCGCCTGCTCCTCCGCTGCCTTGCGCTCCTCCTTCAGAATAACCGAGTCCCTCGACGCAGACTCCGCCGCCCACTTCAACGACTCAGAACTCACGATGGCTCCGCCCGTCCGTCGGGTCCGTCCGAGGAAGCAATCCTGCGAGTCGAAGTCTTTCACGGTCTCCTTCTTCTTCTTCTTGATCTTATGCTCGACGAACTGCTTGTGCCTCGCCTGTGCCTCCATGGACGCCAGATTCGAGACGTCTACCTGATCGTAGGCACAAGCCAGCTCCAAAATATCCGACAGCATCTCGTGAGCCACTGCACTGTGCTCGTCATCGTTCAGCTTGTTCTCGTGCTTCCACGTCGTGTGGCGCTGGACCGGGCCCCCGCTCTGCTTGGCGATCTCCGAAATCACATACAGCGTCGTGCGAGGCTCAGCCAACGCCCAATCCTCGAACTCACACCTGTCCACCGCCTCCGAAACGCTCCTGAGGGTGCGACACGACGGCCAGCCGTGTCGCGCATGATCGCCAAGGTCCTCGCGTCCTCGGCCAGTGCAGGTGGCGTCGGGCAGTCCGTCAGGCCCAGCCTGGCACAGGCGCGGCCTGCTCCGCCACGAAGGCCCGCAGCGCCTCGCCGGCTGTCGCGCCAGCTGGAGCAGGACCGCCGAGGCACCCGTCCGCCCCATGTCGTACAGACCGTACTGGCCGACCGCCACGAAGACCTCGGAAGGCGTCCCCAACGAGTCAGGCAACGAATAAAAAGACCATGCCCCCCTTCACGTCGCCCTCGCCGACCACGCAGCACCAGCCGGACCACGCGTCGCTAGGCACGCGGGCGCCGCCTGGCGGAGCGGCGCTGGACAAAGCCAACGCCGGCTCGCCAGCCGGCTCCGGCTCATCACCCAGCGGCGCCAACCCGCGCTCCGCCCAGAGCTCCACCGCCTGGATCTCCGCCTCGTCGATCCACGCCTGGAGCGCAACGCTTTCCGGCCTCTCCGTGAAGCGGAAGACTGGCTGACCCCGCGAACCGCCGAGACCAGCTGGCAATCCGCCTCTGGGTCCAGCTTTCTTGACATCCGACAGGTGGCGGGTGTCGATATCCTCTCCTCGTACATATCTTCGTCGCGAGTGAGGATCATGTACCAAACCCTTCCTAGGGCCGCCAGGATCAACGTCTCATGCCTGCCAGGGTTCCCCCTCCACGCCGCAGTGGAGGAATATCACGTCTCCCGGCTGGAGGTTGAGCGCCCTTCGCACAGACCGCTTGGGCGCCATTGCCGTCGAAGTACCTGTCGGCTTCCAGCTCGATGCTCTTGCCGACCTGCCCAGCGGTGTCCGACTGGTGAAGCCAAACAGCACGACACGCACGGAGACGAGACACGTACAGATGACCGTCTGCACAGCCAGGACCGCCAAGATTCCCAGCAAGAAGCTCACGCCCTAGGCAACGAGCGCGGACCCAAGCGGCACGGGCGCCCTCCAGACGTCGGTCTGCGAGAGGCAGGCGTTGGCTGTGGTCGAGATGGCCAATGCACACGGCGAGACCCGCAGATCGCTGGCCCAGGAACTCTCAGTGGCTCGAGCTTTTGGGAGAGTGCTCCAGCCGAATTTCTCATTCGCCGCCACGAAAACACCGCTCGAGCCGCAAAGATGCGGCCAGGTGGAATGCGATAGCATTGCACGCTCCGTGACAGTCTGCTCTGCTACACTTCACGACGCTGGTACAGGAGGAGGAGGAGGAGGAGCAGGAGCAAGAGAAACAGGAGAAGAACGTGGACCAATGAGCTGGAGGACCGTGCATGTTGTTTCCTCCTCCTCTTCCTCCTCCTCCTCCTCTTCCTCCTCCTCCTCCTCTTCCTCCTCTTCCTTCTTCTCTTCCTTCCGTCGGGATCGGCGAACCATCCTATAGATCGGCGATACTTGCCCCCGATCGTGACACCGCACGGTCATGGAGGGCTGGGCTGTGGGACCCCATCGGCGATGAGCGGGCGCTTGGCAACCGATGCGTCCCCCCCTGGGCCTGTCCCTCAGAAAATCAGTCAAGACGAGGGGGTGAGGGCAAATCCGCTCAAAATGGGTCCCCAGACCCCTCCTGGGGCGCAGTTTCTCACATCGGAATCCGTTTTGACGGTCCAGGGGCTCGAAACCGACCCCCAAGGGCCGAAAAAGTTACAACCTGTCTCGAAGCCGCCAGGACCTCGAGCCTCTTCCCCCCCCTCCTTGCTGGCAAGAACCAGTGCTGGGCCACCTCAGACCCCGAGCCGCCTCCAAAGGTCATGCTCTTCTCTGCCCCCCCGGGTTTGCCGCAACAAGCCCCCACAAACCCGACCCCGTTGAGCAGGCCAGCCGCCGCGACCTCCTCGGGAGGCACAAAGGCCCCGGGGGGGCGAGGCGGCGGTCGAGGTGGCGAGGGACGTATTTGGAGGTGGGAAAGGGGTGTGGCGTAAAGGGGTATGGTGCCAATCGTGGAAATGGCGATGCTATCTGCGATAAATAATATAGCCACATTCCTTTTTGTACATGGAGTAGCACCACGCCTCTTTATACCATAACTGCCCCTTTCCTACCTCCAAAGGCGTAGACACCAGAGAATCCCCGCCCAGAAACAAGCACCCCGGCAAGCGAAGCCGTCTTGTTGACGCACCCCAGACAGGAATCGAACAGGGCAGTGCTGTTTGGTTCGGTAGCCGCCCAGGGCCGTTTGGCCAACGGGGTCGGGGCGGGCGTTCCTTTCTTCAATGCGGCCCCCTGCGGCGGCGACCCGGGCGCGCCTTCCCAACACAACGTACCAGAAGCCAAGGCTGGTTCGTGGCGAGGCGAGCCCACCGGAGGACACCACTCGAAATGCGGGCTCCAAGAAGATTCACAACCACCACCACTTTCCTTCCCCCTCCTCTATCCTTCTCCTCCCCTCTTCTTTCCGGGGAGAGGGATGGGGTGTGAGGGAGGTGTCAAAGCCGCACGAGGGGAAGGGGTGGGGGCTTGGCCCCTTACGAAAAAGGCAGGAGGGGGCGAGGCCGCAGCAGCGGCTTCCCGAGCGGACGTGGAGACCCCAGCTCCCCCGAGGGAAGCCCGCGCCCCCCCCGGGGCGCCAGGGGGGTGGGGCCGCCGATCCAACGCCACGAGAGGACGGCAACGTCGTGACGGAAGCTCGACGGCATGCCCGCCACGGGATGGCGGCAAGGAGCCCACGGAAGGCAAAGCACCGCCCACGGAAGGCAAACGTGTTTGCCTGAACTTGGCTCCAGAACTTGTGCCTCCAGCGAGCTCATTGCCGCCAGCCCGTTCACCTTGCGAACGTTTTCTTATTCGGCCGTTCGACATTGGGCGGAAGGGGGGGTCGCCTGGCTTCAGACCTCTGCTTCATGCGACTGTTTGCCAGAGTGCGTCCTATGGGGGAGGCCCTACCTACTTGAAACGGGCGCCAAAAACAGCCAAGATCTACTCCATGAGGTGGGGGAGGGGCGCGAGGGCCCGCACCGAGCGGCAACCCAATGAATAAGAAAACGACCACCCTTCAACTGAAGTGAGCCTGAGCACTGTTTCCCTTCGGTGAGCCCCCTGCCGCCAGCCCAACTTTGCCTTCAGTGGCATCCCTGTCGCCATCGCCGAACAAGCAAGGGCCAGAGCCCTGGGCCCCCCGAGGCGCGTTCGATTTCGGTGAGGGCCCCGAGGCCTGGAGCCCTCGGCAGAATCTGGCCCGCTGCGAAACGTCGCGATGCCAAGATCTCAGGGACCCAGACATCCGACGCCCGACGACGACGACGACGACGATGAGGAGGATGCTGTGCTGCTGATGATGATTATGCTGATGCCTGACGCTACTGCTGCTGCTGCTGCTGCTTTTGATTATGAATGTGTTTCTGATGATGATGATGATGATGATGATGATGATGATGATGATGATGATGATGATGATGATGATGATGATGATGAGATGATGCTGCTGTCGCTGTCGCTGCTGCTGCTGATGCTGAGGATGATGATGATGTGCTGCTGCTGATGATGCTGCTGATGTTGTTGATGATGTTGCTGTTGATGATGTTGGTGACGATGACGGTGATGATGTTGACGACGATGATGATGATGATGACGATGATGATGCTGATGCTGATGCTGATGCTGCTGATGATGATGATGAGGAGGATGATGATGTGTTTCGTCGTGAGCGCTGCGTCTTGGCCTATGGCGTGTCTTCGGTGGCTCTCTGGGACTCGGCCTCACCTAAATGTGCTCTTGGTGGCATGGCGGGCTGAGCCTACCGACGTCCCGAGGTTGTCCGCACGGACTCCCATGGAAGACCCGCCCCCCTTCCCCGGTGCCAGCTTTGAACTCCCGGGCCGTGGTTCGACGGCCCCGCGGCCCAGCGAGGGCCCCTGGAGGCCGCAGATGGCGAAGGAGAACGTCTTTATCTGACTACCTACCAGACCACCCCAACCCAACCCGAAGACCCGAATTTCGGGTTGGGGGGGGTACGGGTTCCATATGTGTTTTCTCAATGTTCCACGACCCCCCCAACTGGAAATCGAGGAAAAATTGGGGCCTTCGGGTTGGGTTGGGGTGGTTTGGTGGGTGGTGATTATCCCGATGTTCACAAAGCGAGCATGTCTGGGACGGCTCTCCCGCGAATAGACATCCGCAAACGCATAAACCAAATCTTCTGGAGGTTGGCGCGGAGCTCCGGACATTTTTTATGCTCATGCCTTTGCTTCCTCCTTCGAGCGAAGGATCCCGCCCATGCCCAGGCTGCATATTTTCTTTCTCAGGACTGCCTGGCCGGCCGTGCTACTCCTACTCCTCGTCCCGCCTCTTCGCCTTTGCTGCTGTCAAAGTGCTTTGCTGGGGTACTTCCTCTTCGCGCGAAGGATTTCAGGGACGTCTCATCTTAATTCATCTTCGAGCGAACGCTGTGAGTCGTCTGTGGGCCGTCTGTGACTCGTCTGTGAGTCGTCGTCGTCGTCGTCGTCGCCGTCTTCTCTATCGGAGCTGCCGCCGTCGTCGTCGTCGCTGTCGTCGTGGCCGTCGTCCACTCGGACTCGCACTTCCATCTGGACGCTCGCAACCAGACGCGCCAGGCAGGAAGTGTTCGGCAACGCGATGCACACGTAAGCGACGATCAAAGACGGGTCTTGCGCGAGATGGCGTGGCGGCCTCACGCGGCGGCTGACGCGGGCCGCCTGACCAGCACGCCGCATTGGAGACGAGGGCGCTCACGCGCGAGCTTGCGCGGGGAACCTGCGCGCCAGTGCCGGCGCAGACGACCCCGTTTTTTGTGGCGTCGCCCACATGGGGATCTCCGCGCCGAGCACTGCTTCATTTGGACGCCCGAAGTGGGTGCGGAAAGAATGGGTACAATGCTCAACAACAAATGTTGTCCCAAACCAACAGCGGCCGTTGTTGGGCAGGCGGCCTTCTGTCTCGAATTGACACAAGCCGCGGCGGCGTGGACAGCGAGTCCTGTTCAAAATGAACAAGATCCGCTGTTGGGCATCGTAATCACCCTTTCCGTGCCCATTTCGTTCGTGCAGACTTAATGTCGTTCTACCGTCTTCGAACGAAGGACCTCAGGGACGGCCCCCCGCGAAGAGCCCGCAGGCCGCGGCGCGTCAGGGCGCGGCCGGCGCTGCGCCGGCGGCGGCGCTGCGCTGCGGCGGTGGCCGCCGCGGCGGCGGCAGGCCTCAGGCGCCACCCGCGAAGGGCCGCCGAGCGCCCGGCCGCGGCGGCTCCGCGCGGGCAGCGGCCGCGCAGCAGCTCCCCTCGGGGGGGGGGGGGAGGAACGTTCCCCATATCCTGAGGGGGGGGAACTTTCCCCACATCCTGAGGATGGGGTTCTCGTTCCCCACATCCAGAGGATGAGGTTGTCATTGCTCCGACCGCGCCGACTCTTCCTCACACCTCCTCGCCCTCCTCCTTCCCCACTCAGAGCTACTCCTGTTCAGGAGCAGATGGTGATGCTGATAATGGTGATGGTGATGGTGAGGGTGATGATGATGATGATCCTGATGATGATGGTGATGCTGATGCTGATGCTGATGATGATGATGCTGCTGATGCTGCTGCTGCTGATGATGATGATGATGATGACGAGGATGATGACGAGGATGATAATGACGATGCTGCTGATTGTGATGATGATGCTTGTGATGATGATGGTGATGATGATGCTGATAATGACGATGATGATGGATGATGGTGGGGATGCGGATGATGATGATGCTGATGATCATGCTGATGATTATGATGATGAGCATGATTCCAGTGTTGATGAACATGGTGACAACAATGCTGTTGATGATGATGATGATGATGATGATGATGATGATGATGATGTTGATGCTGACGATGATGATGTTGATGACGATGACGATGACGCAGACGATGACAAGGACGATGATGATGCTGAAGATGATGATGTTCCTTAGGATGATGACGACGACGACGATGATGATGATGATGATGACGATGATGATGACGATGACGATGACGATGACGATGACGATGATGCTGCTGCTGCTGAAGATGAAGATGAAGATGAAGATGAAAATGATGAAATGATGATGATGATGATGATGATGATGATGATGATGATGATGATGATGATGATGATGATGAAACAGATTGTGAGGATGTCTCGGGCGAGGCGCTTGTTTCAGCACGCCCAATGGGGGGGGCCGCCAGGGGGCGTTGCACGGGACCGTTCGTGCCCAGATTGCGGGGATGTCTCGAACGGTTTGCCTGTTTGCATGCACAACATCCTCCGCTTTCGGAGCAGATTTTGAGGATGTCTCTGGCGAGGCGCTGGTTTTCGCACCCCATGGGCGGCCCAGATTGCGAGGACGTCTCGAGCGGTTTGCCGCAATGTTTGAGGATGTCTCGGGCGATGCGCTGGCTTCAGTACTCCCAATGGGGGGGCCGCCAGTGAGTATTTAATTCTCCTGCACAGCTGTGTTCTAGAGCTCGGACCTCTTTATTTTCGTTTGTCGTCGTCGTTCGTTCGTTCGTCGTTCGTCTTCCCCCCCTGGCCACAGAAGGAAACTCCTGGAGGAAGGAGGCGAAAGCCTCCTGTCCCTCGCAGCTCCTTGGTGCAAGAGCCAGGGCACGCGTGCCACTTGTTCATACGTTCACTCCCAGATTGCGGGGACGTCTCGAGCGGTTTGCCTCTTCACCAACCCTCTTCACCAACTCAACATCCTCTGCGTTCGGAACAGATTTTGAGGATGTCTCGGGCGAGGCGCTGGTTTTCGCATCCCAGGGGGGGCCCCGATTGCGAGGATATCTCAAGCGGCTTGCTTGTTTGAATGGCCAGACTCGTCTGCGTTCAGGTCGAATCCGAAATGCTTTACGTATGTCCCCGTAGATTGCCCCTTTCCTGTGGCTCTACTCCTACGTGTTTTGCGTATGCTCCTGTAGATTGGGCCTCTCCTGGGGCTCGAATACTTTGTGTTGTACGTATGTCTCTGAAAATTGCCCCTCTCCTTTGGCTCCAATCCTAAGTGTTTTGCACCTGTTAAATTCGATTGGGCCTCTCCTGGGGCATGAATCATTCCCAGGAGGCTCCAGGAGGCTCCTGGAGGCACCAGGAGGCACGAGGAGACACCAGGAGGCCTTAGAAGGCCCCGGGAGGCCCCAAGAGGCTCCAGGATGCCACAGGATGCCCCAGGCGGCCTTAGGAGGCCCCAGGAGGCGCCAGGGAGACCCGGGAGGCCCCAGCAGGCCGCAGGAGGATTTAAGAGGCTCCAGGGAGTTCAAGGAGGCCCCAGGAGGCCACAGGAGTGGCTCCAATCCTAAGTGTTTTACATCTGTTCCTACAGATTGGGCTTCTCCTGGGGCAGGATGTTTTGCCCTTCCCCTCTGTCCTCAATCCTGTGTGCATGTGTGTTTCCCGATGCTCCTATAGATTGGGCCTCTTCTGGGGCACGAACCTTTGGTTTGTTATGTATGTTCCTATAGTTGCCTCTTCTCCTGTGGCTCCAATGCTAAATGTTTTGCGTATGTTCCTATATCTCGGGTCTCTCCTCTCCGTGGCGTGGCTGGCTGTATCATGGTCCAGCAACTGCGTCTGATCTTCTGGGCCAGCCAGCGAAGCGCAAGGGTTTCGCACGTCGTTTGCATGAACACCCCATATTATTTGCTTCATCATGGAATGGGGGGTCGCGTAGCTACTTCGACTCAGTCACGCCCAGTCATGATCAGGCCACTGACGCGCAGACACACTCATCCTAAACTTAGACATAGTCAGACCCATGCGAATAGACTCACACGTACTGCTGGCCTCATTCACACTCCAACTCATTCACAATCACATTCAATCCCAGTCTGTCTATACTCAAGCCCGCTTACATTGGAAGTCTCTTGAGTCTACACACTCACGGTGAAAAGGTCCAAGCAAACAAAAGTACAGATGGGGAGCTCCATGCAATACAGAATTCCCCATATGCCAAGGATGGTATTCTTGTCTCCGGCCGAGCCAACTCCTCACTCACCTCCCTCTTCTTCTTCCCTCTCATGTAATGTTATAGTATGAGATGGCATGTTATGTTACGGTATGTTGTGTAATGTTATGTTATGCTATGTTATGGTATGGTATGTTAGAGAGGGAGAGAGCGTGATCCACCGCCGCTTTGCTGTGGAAATTTCCCCTCTTGTTCCTCTGGAATCCAATGGTCCCCCCCATCTGAGAATCCCCCCCTCCTCCTGCTCGAACCCCTCCCCCCTCCCTCCCCTGGCAAAACCCCCCGCCCCCCCCCCCGCCTTCCGGAAAACCGGGGGGGTCACTACGGGTTTGATCGAACCCCCCCCCCCCCCTCTGGAAAACCAGGGAGGTCCTACCGGTTCGAACCCCCGCCTCTCCCCCTCCCCCCTCGCCGCCGGCAAACGACTCCAAGGTCCCCACCGCCGTCCTCCGCCCCCACCACTGTCCCACTGTCTACACCACTGTCCCACTGTCCCCTCGCCACTGTCCCCACCGTCCCCACTACTGTCCCACTGTCCCCACCACTTTCCCACTATCCCCACTGTTGCCACCAGTCCCCAGTGTCCCCACCAATGCTCCCACCAGTGCCGCGCTGTCCCCAGTCCCACTCTCCCCACTGTCCCCTCCGTCCCCACCACTGTCCTACTGTCCCCACTGTCCCCACCACTGTCCCACTGTCCCCACTGTCCCTACTGCTGTCCCACTGTGCTGTCCCACTGTCCTCGCTGTCCCCACCGCTGTCCCCACCACTCTCCCCGCTGTACCACTGTCCCATTGTCCCACCACCGTCCTCACCACTGTCCCCACCACTACCTTCCCCACCACTGTCCCACTGTCCCCACCACTATCCCACTGTCCCCTCGCCACTGTCCCCACCACTGTCGCACTGTCCCTACTGCCCCCACCACTGTCCCTACCACTGTCCCCACCACTGTCCCCACCACTGTCCCCCTTGTTCCTACCACTGTCCCCACTGTCCCCACCAGTGCCCCCACCACTGTCGCACTGTCCCCACTGTCCCCCCACCTCTGTTCCCACCACGGTCGCACTCTCCCCACTGTCCCCACCACTGTCCCACTGTCCCCACTCCCAACCGCCACACCCACCACCGTCCCAACCACTGTCCCCACCACAGTCCCCCATCTGGAGTGGGGGAGGAGGGGGAGTTGTTGCGGCGAGTGGCAGAAGCGGTGGGGGGGGGTTGGAACCGGTAGCGACCCCCCCCACTTTCCGGGGGGGAGGGGGGGTTCGAACCGGTAGTGACTCCCCCTTCCTTTTCATGATGGACCGGGGAGGGGGGGGGACGGGGGGTTGGAACCCCCCAGTGACCCCCCTGGTTCTGCCAGCAGCGGCAGAAGTCGCCCTTTCTTAAATTATGGTGTGTTCTGTTATGCTATGGTATGTGATATTATGTTATTCCCCATATCCAGAGGATGGGGTTCTCGGTATTCCCCATATCCAAAGGATGGGGCTCTTGTTATTCCCCGTCTCCAGCGTATCCAAAGAATGGGGCTTTTGTTATTACTGTGACCGCGCGGACCTTCTATTCACCTCCTCCTCCTCCTCCTCCTCCCTTCTCCTCCTCCCCCTGATGACGCTCTCCCCAAGTGTGATGACGACGACGATGATGATGATGATGCTGCTGCTGATGATGATGATGATGATGCTGCTGATGCTGATGATTATGAACCATGGTACGTCATTGTACTTTCTGCTAGGTTATGCTATGTTATGTTATGATGTGATGATAAGTCTGAAGCTGAAACTGCTGCTGATGCTGATGCTGATGCTGATGCTGATGATGATGATGATGATGATGATGATGATGATGATGATGATGATGATGATGATGATGATGATGATGATGATGATGTCTCGAGGGAGGCGTTCAATACTCCTAGGGGTGGCCGCCAGGGGTATTTCACGGCACTCCTAGGACTCCTAGGGGGGGCCGCCAGGGGTATTGCACGGCCTCCGTTCGCGCCAAGATTGCGGGGATGTCTCAGGCGGTTTGCCTGTTTCGGTGCCCCAACATCCTCCGCTTTCGGAGCAGAGCTGGAGGATGTCTCGAGCGAGGCCTTCATTTTCGCCCCCAAGGGGGGCCAAATTTTGAGGATATCTCGACCGGTGTGCTCGTTTTGGTGGCCAGACTCGTGGGCACATATTCTCACCAGGATGCCACAGGGGGCTCCAGCAGGCTCCAGGAGGCCCAGTGGCTACGTTCGCATGCGCCCACCGCACCCATTTCGGCACAGTCATCACACGTCTCGCGGCACCATAGGGAGCTCCACCGAAGGCCTCAAGGGCTTCGTTCGCATGCGCCCACCGCACCTATTTCGGCACACATCTCACGCGTTTCGTGGCCCCACAGGGAATTCCACCGACGGCCCTAGTGGCTGCTTTCGTATGCGCCCACCGAACAAATTTTGGCACACCCCTCACACGTTTCGTGGCCCTGTAGGGAGCTCCTCCGAATGCGGTGCATACAACGACGGTGCCCACAACTGCATACAGTTGGGTCCTTCGCCAAGCAATGTTTTTCTTCGACTCTCCTCTCTGCATCTCCGTCTCTCGGCCGCACTTGCTTGGCCTGCGGTGAGTTGGGTCCAGCAAGCGGTCAATCGGACGGCGGGGCGCATTGGAAGCTCATTACGGCGAGAGCACAGGATAAGGCAAGGCGGGAGGGGGAGGAGGAGGAGGAGCAGGAGGAGAAAGAAGAGGAGGAGGAGGGAGCGGCTGCAGAATGGCCAGAGAGCTCTAAGAACATGAACGTCTTCAAGCGGCGCTGGGGATCTCATGAGCTCGACGGCGGCGTAGCAGAAAGATCCCTCCGCCTCACGCAGCATCCCATCCCCCCACAATCCCGTTGAGGGGGTGGGATGCGCGTGCGCACTCCAACGGCAGCACTGTTTCTCTCTTTCTCTCTTTCTCTCTCTCTCTCTCTCTCGCAGAAGAGTGCTACGAAGATGATGGCGAGGAGGGGGGGAATGAACCAGCGGCTGGGGACCAAATCACGGCGCGGCCTCAAAGAGGCGCGCCCGTGCCCTGCCTATGCATGGTGCAGGGAGGCTCAGAGGATGCCGTGCTCCTGGAACTCTCTCTGTGGAAGCGCTTTGGGTCGTGACCCCCCCCGTGCCGAAGGGGACGCCGCGGAGGGGAGGACGGAAGAAAGTCCATCCCATGCCCAGAATGTTTCAGTCTGGGCTCCCTGGAAGCAAGGTATCCTTTTCTCCTGGGCAATTTTTCCATCCCGAATCGCTCCTTGACGCTCCAGGGGCCCGGCGAGAGCCCCCGGAGAGGCTGCAAACGGTGAGAAGCCACGCGGCGCGCTGTTGGCCACGACGCGAGCAGGTCTGGGGCTGCTACCTCCTCCCCTGGCCATCGCTCGGACGTCCATTCCCTGTGCTTTTTTCGGTTTCGTGCGTGGTTTTTTCGCCAAATGATCAAGGATGCTACTCGATGGTCCCCACCGAGGAAAAAATGCACACGTCCGAGCGATGCGAAGTCCCATGGGGGAGGGGGGGGAGAAGCAGGCGGCGCTGCTGCGGCCGCCGCGCCTCCGCCGCAGCGGCCGTCGGGGGCCCCCTCTCCTCGAGGACGTCCTCCGTCGGGCTGGGGAGGTCCTGGGGCGGGGGGGGGGCGAGGAGGAACTGGAGGGAGGGGGCAGACATGGAATGAGAAACGTCGGCGTAAGCGTGCACTTTCGGAGGTCCGCGCGGATTTCTCGGATCGGCGATGGGAGGAGGTCCAGCGCCGATCCACAGAACTCCGCGTGGACCTCCGAACGTTTAGGTATATGGCGTTCGATGTTCTTCGAGGGATGGAGGAGAGGGGAGGAGAGGGAAGAAGAGGTGGGAACGAGCAGGGAGGGAGGGGCGCTGAGGGCCGCAGACGCTGCGATCCCCTGGCCGATCGAAATCTGCCCGACGCGAGAACTCACAGAGGGGCCAACGGTGCCATATAGACAACTGTTCGGAGGCCCGCGCAAATTTATCGGGTTGGCGGATGCCTTGGTTCGATGTGTCTCCTCCTTCCCAGCGCGCTGGGGCGCTGAACGAGCACGTGTAGGATGGATTGATGGGGGGGTGATGATGATGATGATGAGGAGGAGGAGAAGGAGGAGGAGGAGGAGGAGGAGGACGATGAGGATGAGGGGGAGGACCAGTGGAAACCCAAGAGTCATCAACGATGTTGGAATTCACCCTCCCTCCAAGCTCCCTCTTCATAGGCCCCAACAACGGTTCGTTTCCATTGAAGGAACTGCCTCGCTGGAAGACAGCAATTTGAAGATTCTAAAGCGTGCCAAAACATTGCCCTCGGGATTTCAACGCCACGTATCAACCTTACTGCTGCATCTTGACGATCCAGAA